TATGGCAGATTCTGAGTTGCAAAGTGTTTGGGAGTGTTTTGGAGTCTTAGCATTCGTCCTTCAACTTGAAAATAGTGTGTCTACTTATAAGCAAGAGGTCTTAAGTCTTGTAACAACTCAGATTTCAAAAACTCACATGTTTGCTTGGTTACTTGTTTGTGAAGCAAAGCTAGCAAACATAGTTTCAAGGTGTAGTACCAAGCTTGTAGGGGGCTAAGACCTTTAAACACACTTGTTCTGATTGAGTAGAGTGTGTTTGTTCAGAAAAAACAAGTGCAAGGCTCAATGCAAGCTGACTTTGCATAAAGCTTGCTTTTCTAAAATGGCAATGTCGCCTTTCTCCCAAAAATGGAATTATTCTTGTACAATGCATTGAATACTTGGCTTAAAGTTTCCAACAGATGTGAAAACATTTAATTATGGAGTGAAAGTCAAGTTAGAATCCTGAAAAGTAGGATTTGTTCAGCATGCTTGGAGATTGGATTCAAAGTTCTTCACAAAATGGCTTGAAATCCAAGTGACAAAATACCAACTTCATCTCTTCGATTCTCCCTACTCGGGAATGATCTCAAGGATTTCTTGGATATTTCAGAAAGCTTGAAATGAGCTCTACAACTCATATTTGAATTTCTTTTGAATATTCCCCTTGGAACCATGTAAAAAATTTCCATGAAGTTAGGTCAAAAATCTGTCAAACTAGGGCAAAATTTCACTAAGTTATTTTTAGTTCATGAGCAAAAATATCTTGAGATCCAAGCATTTTTAGGAGAAATTGTGTGAAGAAAAGTTATATATTTCATGGAGATATACAACTTTCATGTTGGAAGTTTCCTTTTAATCATCTTGCATCATGGTGAAAAATTGGCTCAAAGTTGAGAAAAAATAAGAAATTTTCTATACTTCGAAAAATTTCTTAGTTAAGAAATTTCAACTTTTCAAAACAAAATCTTAAATCCTTGATTTCTTGATGAAAAAGTTTCATATTTTGACATGTTTTGATGAATTATGATCTTTGGCACTTGACTTTGACTAAAAAGTCAAAGTTTGACTTTTCAGTATACAGTTGACTTTTGATCAATTGACTGAAAAATTCATCTATCAATCCAATGGATTTGTAATATTTTGAATCATGTTATTAGGTCAAAATTATGCAATTGAACTCTTGAAATCATGCTTCAAACTAATTGATCATTTTCTAGGTCAAAAATCAGAAATTGCCCATTCCCAGTCAAAACCCTAATTTTGACCATTTTGCCCTTTTGGAGATTTGATCAAATTTCTTGAAGAGTTGTGTTCCAAACTTGATCAAATGATACATATGAGTCTAATATGTTGATATGGATCAAAAATTATGAATTTTGACTGTAAATTGGCCATGGTTGACTTTTTCCCCAATACAGCTGATTTTTAGGTCAACTGTTCAATTGACTGATCAAAAGTGTGATTCAAGGCTTGAAACTTGACTTGAGTAATCTTAGGGGTCCATGATGATCATTGAAAGTCATATGAAGTATTGATAGTCCAAAAATCTTTGTGCAAACTCAAACCCTAATTTTGGTCATCAGTGCATGAGGAGGTGTCTTGAGCTGGTCAAACCCTAATGCAGTCTTGAGTCAAAGATATCTTTGTGAGAAAATTCTTGACAAGTGAGAGGGAAAATTTTAGGGTACAACACTCTCTACCATCATCAGTTCTCAAAACTTTGAGCTTTCAACCATTTTATCTTTCTACCAAAGACTTAAACTTGGCAAATACCTCGATCACTTCACTTTTCTTATTGATCAGGTAAGTCCATAGTTTTCAACTGTAATCATCTATGAGCGTGACGAAGTATTTGTTACCTTCAAACTAATCCACTTGGATTAGTCCACATATATCAGAGTATATGACTTCGAGGACAACCTTTAACTTGCTTCATGCATCCTCGCTGAAGTTATTCTTGTGTTGCTTCGCCCGCATACATTCCTCACACACCTCTCTTGGAATGTCAATTTATGGCAACCCTGAAACTATATTTATTCTCTTAAAATATTTGATGTCTCTGAAGTTGAGATGGCCTAGTCAATAATTCCATATCCATTCATCTCTTTTAGTTGCAGTTGAAAGGCACTTGTGCACCATCACATTAAGTTCAATCTTGAAGGTTCTATTTTGAGACATATTAGCCTTCAAGATTAATATTCCATTTGCATCGATGACTCTCATCATCTTTTCTTCGACCAAAACTTTGTAATTATTTTCGACCAACTGTTCTATACTGAGCAAATTGCTCTTCATACTTGGTATGTATAACACATTGGAAATTACTGACCTTTTTCCATCTTTCCTCATAATCAAAAATATCTCCAATACCTTCAGCTGCAAGAGTGTTTTCATTTGCAAATTTTACCATGTTCTTCATTGAGGGTTTTAGGTTGACAAACCAATATTTCCTTCTAGACATATGTGATGAGCATCATGAATCCAAGTATCATTGATCCATGAATTTTTCTTCATCTTTTGTTGTAACCATCAACAACATCTCCTCTTCATCATACTTTGCGAACTTTGCATCACTTTCTTGATTCTTTCGCTTTTCTGGACAATCACTAGAATAGTGACCATACTTCTGACAATTGAAACACTGAATGTGACTCTTGTTAGATTTTTGACCACCACCTCTTCCTCTATTTGCAAAGCCACCTTTGTGGTTGCCTTGGTATGGTCTTCTCTGATTCAACATGTTTTCTTCTTGCTCGTTTCTTCTACCAGTCGAATTGTTGTAGCCACCTTTACCTTTGTTGTCGAACCACTTTCCTTTTCCTTTCTTGCCTCTTGTTGATTGAGCCTGCAAAGCCACATCACTCATCGACTTGCTTGCAGCTCTTTCAGCCGTTCTTTATTCGTGAGATTCAAGCATTCCTTGAAGCTCTTCCTTCGACAAATATGACATGTCCTTCAACTCTTCTATGGAAACTACCACATGGTCGAACTTCAGAGCCAAAGATTTTAAGATCTTCGAAACAACAACTCTTGTTATTAACGTCTCTCCGTAAGTCTTGATTTCATTCACTAGTTTTGCAACCCTAGTGAAGAAATCAGATATGCTTTCGTTATCTTCCATCTGAAGCAATTCATACGTTCTTTTGTGAGTTTGTAACCTCACTTCTTTCACCTTCTCAGCGCCTTCAAACGATTTCTTCAGAATCTCTCAGGCTTCTTTTGCAGATTCAACATCACTAACCTTTTCGAAATTGTCTGGGCTGACACATTGGAGAGTTATAAAGAGAGCTTTATAATTCTTCTTCTTCAATTCTATATATGCAACTTCTTCTTCCTCTGAAGCGTCTTCATCAAGTAGTTCTAATCCATGTTTCACAAGATCCCAAAGACCTTGAAAACAAAATATAGCCTTCATTTATTTGCACCAATTCTCATAGTTATCACCTTTAAGAACTGAGAGACTTGCTGGAAAATTTCGGTTAGTGTAATTCATCGCCATCGTGAATTTCTTCTTCTTCCTCGATCGTTCTTGATCGTTCTTCCCTTGAATCACTCAACCGGAGCTCTTGATAACAGATGTTGGAAATCTACAAAAACCTATGATGAATTTCTATCAATCTTGATGAACAAGATTGATATCACCACACAATGATAATGAAAAATAAAAGATGAAGAAAGAAAGTATTTTTCTGTAGAGTTTCTCTTTTCCCACAAACTGTGAAAAACTTTATTATTCACGTGTAACTGCAAATTCTATGAATACAATGAGTTGATTACAAAAATGGGGGTTACTCCCTCTATTTATAGATTTAGGTTAACTAATTGCTCTCTAAGCCAAAAATCCAAAACTATAAAAGCCTAAAATACCTATTTTGGAACTAAATCAAATCTGTTATATTTTAGACCTAAATCAAATCTATCTAGATCTAAAACAAATTTGTGTGCAACAAACTGTTTCCACACTAAATCAATTATTTTCGACATTCCATTGTCTCTGTCAAATAAACTAATTCGACATAAGAATTACTTTCAATATTTTCCCCTTATTTTTAATATTATATATATTCTATAATCCAAAATGTTCAATAAATATGTTTCAAAATATATATTTCAAATGACATTTTTGATCAATTCTTGGAGTTTCGGAGAAGTTTCAAGTGGTGGAAAAAGAAAGAAAAAAAAAACTAAAACCAACTATATTAATAAAACACAAGCATCACTACTTTATTTAAAGACAATTGACAGTGGTCATGCATTTTTATTTTGGGTTAAGTATGTTTTTGATTCCTATAAATATCTCAAATTTCATTTTTAATCCTTATTAAAATAATGATAAGTTTTAGTCCCTACAAAATTATTATGCACGTAGTTTTAGTCCCTGTTGTTAAACCAATGTGTATTTTTGAATGATTATTTTGTAAACATGTTTAGGATGTTATAAAAAGTTCCTTAGAAAAAAAGATATTTAAAATTTGATTTATAAGTCGAGATTTTCATTATTTTTATCAATATTTTTTGAAAATAAAAAAAAAATCATATTTAATCCTTCTCATTTTAAAAAAATTCTTAAATTTGATAAAGAAACATTTTATAATATTTTAAACACGTATGAAAAATATTATTCAAAAATTTAAAAGTTTAAGGGTAATTAAACAGTTTTTAAAATTTTAGAAAATAACAGACTAAAACTGAATGAACAAAAACTTTTTAGTGACTAAAATTTATCTTTTTTTAATAGAGATTAAAAATGAAATTGAGATATTTATAAGAATCAAAAACATATTTAATCCTTTTATTTTTAATTTTTGAAGTCAAATTCAAAACTAAAATCAAAATTTGTTTGTCAAATAATGTTTCATTAGAGAGAAATATATTTACAGGTGTAAGAATGATGATTACTTATAACCTAAATCATTTCTAACAACTCTATAACCATAATAACTTTCAAATAACAAACTTATTTAATTCTTAATAGAAAACTTAAACTCAAATAATCTATGACATAAATCCTGATAATATTAGGCTACATGTAATGTTGTTTTGTTACTAAAGGTATACAAGTTACTACATATGGCTATAGTGCTACATGAGACAGCTAAAACTATAACTAACAAAGATAATAACTTGTCTTTTTTTGTTGCAACCCCACGATTGTCCCTGCCAAAGAGTAATCACAAAATTAAATATTTGACAATAAAGTTGACATTAACAGATCAACATCAATAACAATTAAAAAAATTAATAAATAAAATACAATAATCAATATTGATGTCGAGTCGGTGTCTGAAACTGACACAGAAATAAGATAAAGCTATTAGGTCTAAAAAGTAGTGTTGTGAAAGGGAGGCGAGAACTTACTTTAGAGCAATGGCAGCTGGAAAAATGTAACCAACAGAAATGGCAGTTGTAGCACCTATGAATTGGAAAGCACACCAAATACTAGGAACATAATTAGCTCCAACAAAAACAAAAGCCATGAGAATTATTGTCACAAAACAAAATCTCTTGTTGTCAAAGGCAAGTGGAATGGCATGGGGAAACAAAAGACCATCTAGGTTAAGTCTAAGTGAGAAAAACACAATTGGGAATACTAGGATAAGGTGGAGCCCATAGCTAACTCTAACTACATCATTAAGAAATGTACTATAAGGAACTCCAAGATCTCCATCAAAATTTGCAAGTACATCATCTTGTATATTGTCTCCAAATAATAATATTCCAAAAATACTTGTTGCTATGTATACAGATGTGCATAGTATAAGTGATGTTCGAACTATCGCATTCATATGAGAAGTATCTTTGAGCTCATTCTCTATAGGATGCACTGCAATTATATAGATTAAATCAAATAAATTTATATTTAAAATATTTAATTTAACTTCAACACAGACACAAATATTAAACAGCATACCAACACTGACTCTGACATAAATAATAATTTTAAAAAATAAATAAATTAAATATAATATGTATCAGACACTAACACATATTTTATTAGAGGTGTCGATGCTACGGAGATTTATACTAACCGTTATGATGACAGATATAAGCAGTGACTAGTATAGGGATGGTAGTGAAGAGCTTCCAAAAGGATTCATCGTTTGTGAGTTTGGGCATTAAGTGTGGCATACCAATGCTTCCATTAAAAAACTTCACAATTGTAAGACCTGTTGTTATGACCACAAACACAATAGCCAGTGCCACTGATAATGCTGATGTGTACCTTAGTGAATCTGATATGTATACCATAAAATAGTTAAAGAATCATGTAACATATTATACCAAACACAGTGCCAAAAAATTGAGATCTTAACTAGACCTACCTACACGTCTAAAGGATGCGAGAGGGATAAAAACAAAAATTGTTATGAGAAACAATAAGATAGGACGTGTTGACCAATAACGTTGACCAAACCATTCATCTAAAACTCCTGAATACTGAACTCCTTCTGACCATGTTCCAGAGAACACATCACCTGTTATAACATTATATTTAGCATAGCACAATAATCACAAGCAACAATATTAAGAAAATACATTTTTCAATAGTCAAATATTTTTAAAGTAAATGTGTAATAGGGATAGTAAAAAAGAAATGGAATTGACAAAAATATCCTTTAAACTCTAGAATTCAAACCCATCCAATATATCATTCATATACAGAAATAGAAACTCATGCTCACTACCTTTTTATCTATTTTTTAAATCCTACTAAGAATCTCACAAATATATAAAATTTGAGTTTTAAATGAACAACCAAATCATCAATTTCTCTCGATACATCACATTCGTCTTAAAGCAAAGTAACATGATTCTTAAACCTTCATCATTGTATATTAAATCATTTTTTGGTTCCATTCATGTCACATGTTCTCTATGCTGAATTATTCTAGATCATTGAATCCGGAAAAACATCAAATGTGAGTTTGAATTGTACAATCCTAACAAATGTCAAACTCTCATTTTTGTACTTTCATATTCTAGCATTAACTTAAATGTAATCATCCAAACTATTATTTTATCGAATTCTAGCATGGATTCAGATTCTAAAATTTAATATTTTTCAAAAAAATTATTTTGGATTCTAGAATTTAAAATATATTTTTGTGAATTGCATAAATTTCGAAAAAGATTATTGAGAATCACATTTTACTTCTTTGTTGCATCACTTAACATGAGTGAAGTACGAGTTGATTATTGAGTTCATTAAGGCCCAAACTATAACGAGTCATTAAGCCAAAATGTTTTCCCCTTAATTTCTTTAGTTTTTTTTTCAATTCTAGATTTATGGTATTGTGGAATGTGTTCTAAATTTTGGTTGATTTATTTTTGTGCATTTTAAATTGAGAAAAATTAAGTGTCCAATATAATTAAGCATAACTCTATTAATTATATACTCTAAAAGACTTTCATGGAATACATATTATACAACAAAGATTTGTATGATCCTATTGAAGGTGAAAAGGTAAATTAAGTGATAAGTATGATGCTGAATGGAAGAAGATGAATCGTCTATAATTAGAGAATGTTTAGACTTGGGTATATATATCCACATGTTGAAGTCAAAATTGATGCACATAAAATATGGAATAAATTAAAAGAGTTGTATGAGCACAAAAATGTTCAAAATAAAGCATGTTTGATAAGGAAGCTGGTTGATATGAAATATAAGAATGATAACTCAATGGCTGAGCATGTATGTTTCATAATATTGTGAATAATTTGACAGCTACTGATATTGAGTTTTGTAAACCTTATTATTGCTTAGTTCCTTGTCTGATAACTGAAAAATTCTTGTTGTTTTACAATATTGTCAATGATTAAAGATAGCATGATTAGTAAAGAACTCAGAAGAAATGAACATAGATTGATTGTTACACTTAATCAGTCTGAAGCTCTAATTACAGAGTCACATGGAGAAGCAAAACCAAAACTTTTCATAATCGGGACAAATTTGAGAATCGCACAAGTCAAGAACTAGAAAAAAATATATGTTACAACTGTGGAAAGATGGGGCATATAAAATGAATTGTCAGTTTCTCAAAAGTGAATATTCAAGGGAAAAAGATAAAGACAAAGAGAAGAAAAATGATAAAGGCATGGCAGCAGTTGCACGTGACATTGATGTATATATTTTTTATGATATTAATTTCATAACTGTGCATGTCAAGAATCAACTTAGAATATCGATTCAAGTGTCTCATACCATGTTACTACTAGGTATGGTTTTTTCTCATCTTATACTGTTGGTGATTTTGGAATGGTGAAAATGGGAAATGACAGAGTTTGTGAAATTGTTGCTATGTATGCAAGTTTAAATTGAACAAAGTGAGACGTGTTTCTGATATTCGTCTCAATTTGATTTAGGTCAAAACCTTGGATATTGAAGGTTATCACACTTACTTTGATAATGGTGGCATATGTAAGATCACCAAAGGGTAACTAGTGGTAGCAAATGACCAAAGCTATTCAAAGAGGAACTAAATGCATTTTAAGACACATATAACGAGTTATGGCATACACGCCTTGGTCACTTAGGTGATAAATGACTCAATATTCGTGAAAAGAAAAAAAAATCTGGTGAAAAGTACTCCTATAAAAACATGCACTCATGTTTTTTCTAGTAAGAAACATAGATTTTCCTTTCATAGCAATGGTCCTCTTAGAATGCCAAACATTCTATATTAGATCACACATATGTTTTCATGATGGATGGTAAATCTTTAGGTTTTGCATCATATTTTGTTACTTTTATTAGCGACCACTCTAAAAAAGACTAGGGATTTAGTGTTTTCAAGCACTTTCATACAAGTCTTTAAAGAAAAATGAAGAAAGTTGAAATGTGTCAAAACTGATAATGGTGGTGAATATAGAGATCCATTTGAAGAGTATTGCAAAGAGCATGGAATCAAGCTTGAGAATATTGTTCCAAAGACGCATCAATATAATTGAGTTGTAAAAAGAATAAATCGTATAATTAATGACACAATTAGGTGTATGCTCTCATGAAAATTTATCAAAATATTTTTTGGGGTGGAGCATTGACAACTACAATGGATTTGATAAATATTTCTCCTTATTTTCCACTTGATGGCGATGTTCCAAACAAAGTATGGACATGATGGCTCTTATGGTTACTTGAAAGTGTTTGGTTGCATGGCGTTTGTTCATATTCCAAGAGATAAGAGATCCAAGTTTGATAAAAGATCTAAACAATTTCTATTTGTAGGTTATGTTCATGAAGAGTTTGGTTATAGATTGTGGGATCTAATTTATAGGAAAATCATTTGAAGTCGTGATGTGATATTTGTTAAAGACCAAACTATTGAAGATTTTAATAAAGTTGAGAAGTCGAAATCTGATGCTAGAAGTCACATCGATGTTGTGCCTAAACCTCTTAGAGGAAATTTTATCGATGGGTGAGATATAGAGGTGGATGATGAGAATATCACTAATGATCAAGAACCTTATAATAACTAGAAAGTTAAAGAGGCTCCACCTAAGCCACTAGTTAAGCTTGAGTTGAGAAGATTTACTAGAGAGCGTCAAGTTTCTCATAGATATCCTTCACACGAATATGTGATGATCACTGATAGTGGAAATCAAAAATACTACCAAGAGGCCATTTCAAATTCGATAAAGAAATTTGGTTGAAGGCCATGCAATAAGAGATGTATTGCCTGTATGACCAAGGGGTAAAGTGGCAATTTTTCACGATGCCCTCGTTACCTCGCTCCTATAGCCGAGGTTAAATGCATTTCGCGTCTGAGGTGAAATATGTATTTTGTTTTAGAGTGAGAATCACACATTTGAGTTGGTGCAATTGCCTAAGAGTAAAAGAGCATGCAAGAACAAATGGGTGTATAAAATAAAGTGCAAATAGAGTAAATCCCAACAAGATATAGAGCATGATTAATTGTGAAAGGTTTTAATCAGTGAAAAGTATTTACTTTTAAGAAATTTTCTCATATGCAGTGAAGATGACGTATATTCAATTTGTGTTGGGATTAACAACTTATTTGAATCTATTTAACTATGACTGCTTTCCTTCATGGTGTTTTGGAGGAATAGATCTATATGGAGCAACCTGAGGGTTTCAAAGTCAAAGGTAAAGAAGGACTTAATTTTAGATTGAATAAAAGTTTTTATGGTCTCAAGCAAGCTCTACGACAATGGTACAAAAGGATTAATTCTTTCATGGAAAGAAATAGTTACGATAAAACTACTGCTAATCATTTTGTGTTATTGAAGAAATTCTATATGGTAATTTTATTATTCTCTTGTTACATGTTAATTTTTATGTTAATTGTTGGTCATAACACTAAGAAAATTTAAATTATAAATAAAAATTTAAGAAAGTAATTTGTAATGAAAGACTTGGGTCCTTCACAACAAATCTGAGGTATAAGAATTTATCGAGACAAAAAGAAAGGTAAAGTGTGGTTTTCTCAACACAATTACATTGAGAAGGTGTTGGAGGGGTGTAACATGAGAAATTTAACACCTGTGAGTACTTCACTTGCTAGTCATTTCAAATTAAATCATGAACAATTCTCTACAAGTGAAAAAGACAAAGAAGATATGAAGAATGTTTCTTATATATCGGTTTTTGGTAGTTTGATGTATATTATGGTATGCACAAGACAAGATATTTCTGATGTTGTTGGTGTTTTTAGTCGGTTTCTCTCTAATCTGGTTAAAAGATCGTGGGAAATAGTGAATTGGACTTTTAGATATCTTAAAGGTACTCTCAGAGTGTGCTTATGCTTTAGAAGTGTCGATCTCGTGTTAGATGGCTAAGCAAATGCAGATGTCACATATGATATTGATTTTAGAAAATCTACTTCTGAATACATGATGAGTTTTGCATGTGGAACAGTGTCTTGGCGATTAAGGTTACAAAAATGTGTTGCTTTATCTACTATCAAGACGGGGTATATTGCGACAACTTAAGCATATAAAGAACTTTTATGGATGAAGAAATTTCTATAATAGTTGGATGTTGAGCAAGAGAAGTTTGTGATTTTTTATGACAATTAGATTGAAATTCATCTTGGTAAGAACTTGATATTTTATTCCAGATCAAAACACATTGAGGTGCAATATCATTAAATAAGAGATGCATTGTAGACAAAGTCATTTTCATCCACATTAACGAGAATGGTTCAGATACAATGACAAAAACTTTGCCCGTAACAAAGATGATTAATTGCATGAAGAAGGTGAACATGGTAGAGTTGTCTCTTTGAGGGAAGATATATAAGATGGACTCACTCTTAAAGTGGGACCCACCATTTATATATATATATATATATATATATATATATATATAAAAGAATAAAAAAAAGATAATTGAGCTAACTTTCAATTTTGATCCATGTGGGATTTAAAGGGTTTTAAAACCCTACATGCACAACAACAATAACAAACACAACATAGCAATAAAAGGGAGGAAATGGAAAAATCTATACCAGAAAAAGTAGCGACACTTTGAGAAAAGAAGAAAAAAATTACTTCTGAATGATACATGAGTGGTTAACAAACTTTATCAATTTCAATTAAAAATTTAGTATGTTGTTCATATCTCATAGCTAATTATATTTATGCATCAATTTAGTAATTTTTACATTTATTTAGAGTTGTTTCGATATAATCATATTTTATTGAAGTATTGTTTGAAGTGTGTTTCCCATTTTTATTATTTATTTTCTTAGTGTCAAATGATACTAAAACTTTAACGGTCACGATTAACTTTCAGAAGCTTTATATTTCATGCTACAACTATACCTCTAGCGAAACTATTGTTATCCACCACCAAGTTTTCATCAAACCCCATCCTCTTTAAAGACTTATAGACTAGATATTTTTAGTGAAGTTTTCGATGTTAAAAAGATATTAAATTTTAATGAATGAATACTTTAAAATAAAACATAAATATTAAAAAAAACTGACTCGGATGTTTTAACTTTTCAAAATATAAATCAAAGAATGATAATTTGCTTGAAAATAAAATAAAATACCGATAATGACCATGTACACGACGAGCATTCCCATGTTGTTGAAGATGATACAAAGCAACAAAAAGAAACGGCCAACACCACCATACGCATCAAGAACAACACCGGAATACGTCGAAGATTTCGATGCATGTGTGAATCTCAAGAGAATCATAATTGATGATTCTGTTATCATAGCACAAATAACAATCATAACCAAACCCGGAATCAAACCGAGTTGTTTCACGGCGGCGGGAAGAGCCATGATGCCGGCACCGACGATGGTGGTTGAGAGGTTGAATACAGCGCCGGTGAATGATGAGCCGTCGAAACCGCCTTCTTCATCATCGCGTTTTGTGTTGGGGACAGGATTATGATGATGTGGTTTGGCGTTGCGACGCTTGAGATCTGTTAAAGGGAGGGACATTGTTGTTGTTGTGTTTGTGTTGCATGTGCGTAGAATGTGAATGAATGGCAAAGGAAATGAAAGAGAGAGTGTTTCCAAGTTTGTGGGTTGAAAAATTACCATTCATTTATATCTATCGCAAAAACTACTAACATTTCCATATCATATTACACTTTACATAAAATGTATTTTTACGGTTCCAGTAAATTGTAACCGTTAGATCTTAAGTTATATTTGACTTTTATTTTAATTATATATAAAGTAATAATTATAAACGGTTGTGATAGATTTACCATATAAAACTATTTACATTGATAGTGCATAATCATTAATCTCTCATATATTTTTCTCTATCTATCCTATCATAATACGAATATATAATGTAATTTATATCTATCAATTTTATTAAATTCTTTCATCAATCATATTCTAATTGAGGTAAATTCTTCGCCACCCCTTGAAAAGTTGTGGGTAATTTTTCCCAAATGACGTGTACGAATGAAATTTTTTCACATAAGTTAAAATTTTAAAAATACATACTAACTAAAAACTTTAAAGATTCAAAATTAAATCAAGAAAAAAATATATGACTTGATATTGAGTAGTAAGATATTGATATGTCAAGTGTGAGTAATGATTTACATATTAGATGAAAAAGTGGATGTTGAACAATTTTGAAGTGAAAAGAGACAAACTCAATGTCTTAAGGTTGTAGGTAAATATGTGATTTAAAAATTTATTTTATGTCACAAAATTTCATTAATATAAGTCATTATGAGTATGTGTTGGCTGAAGATTTTGATAATATTATTAGAAGCCAAGCGAATTGAACATTTCGATCAAAATGAAACAAAGCGTCATGTTTCGAAATAGCAGAAGCAGTGTTTTGAATAAGCATGTCAAAGCTTGGAGCTTCGAGTGGCAATTATGAGAACATATCTAAAGAAGTCTCGAAATAACAACAAGGCTGTGTCTGAGAAGTACGTTCGAAACGGAGAAGTACCAAAGCATTTGAAATTCAAATGGAAGCGGGACATTCGAAGTTTGAAATTTATGTGCTGGAGCATTTGGAGACACGTGGAGAGAAGAGAGAGACGTTGTTCTGCATGTTCTGAACATGGCATAATCCTATAGCAAGACCGTTATGGTCGAATTAGTATAAATAGAAGTCTTAGTATTAGGATTTCGGGTGTCATATCTATTGTACTAAATACTCAGTAACATTCAAACTACCACATGGCAAGGGAAACGAATGCAAGAGCAATGTACGTATGATAGCACCACATATTTATGATTCAATGAAAACCTTTTATCATTTCCAGCACTTTCCTTCATCTTTCTGCCAAATAACATTTACAAGTTTTCTCATTCAAAGTCCTTTTATTTCGAAGTCTCTTCATTAAAGCTTTACATTTCAATGCTTTCTTTACATTTCAAGCACTTTACATTTCAGAAAACTGTCATACTTTTCATACCTTTATCTTCAAGCTTTATCCTTCGAACGCCTATTTTTACTTAAAGTCATTTACAGATTTCTTGCATTAAACGCTTTCTTCATATTTCAAACCTTTTACGTTCCAGAACATCCTTTACATTAACTGTTTTTATAAGTCGAAGCCATTTACTTCCCTTTTATGCAAGTTTACATGTCTTTACAATTAACATTTATTCATGCAACTCAGTTTCGTACACGCACATTTTGATTACATCTTTAGACCTTTAAGAGAGAAATAGAAATAAGCCAAACACCTATACAACACTCAAATACCAACCATGAATATTTGTTCGATCATGAGAGTTACCCTAATGACCAAGGAATCCTAGGATCAATCTAGTCGATCCTGTGAGTTACCAGAGGAATTAAATAACAGTCAGAAAGTTTATTCGATAGTTTGGAAGACTAGCGGTTGTTTACCAGAAATCACTGGAAACAAATTGGCACACCCGGTGGGACGAATAATTGGACATTAGAAATAAAGATTGTTGAGACATAACCATTATAAAAACGTTGGAACTTAAGAAGTTTGCTGTTTTATGAACCTAAGAAGTGGTAAAATAACCAACAGCAACCAACCTTTATCCAGAAGAAAACGTTTGGCCAAAATGTCTAATTCTGACAATCAACAAGGGGAACAAAATGCCCCACATACAACAGGCACTAATGTGTCCACTTCGATGGGAACATCTAATGTGATCCCTTCGAATGCACAGTCTGTTGCATCTTCAACCAGTAATATAGCCACCAATGGAGTAAGTGGCATATCAACTAATAGTTCGATCTTAGGAAATACTGGAACCATTGGTTACCCTGGGGGATTCGTTCCACCATCAGGGACACAATCCCATTTCGCCACTCCATTAACTAGACCACCCGGTTTCGATGGAAATAGAACCAGAAATTCCACTTATGGAATGCCCACATCTTTTATGGCAGGTTTACACAATCCCACATCAAATTCATCACCACAATTAGGGTCTGGGTCTGGGGCGAATCAGTTTATGACAAACAACCAAGGGTCAGTGGGTTATAGCATAATGCCTATTTTAACCACAGAAAACCAGTTGGCATTTAGGCAATTGATGGATGACAGTAACCATAATATGATAGGGGTGTTAGCACAAACCATGCAGGAGATATTTGCCCCAATAGTGCAAAATGTGACTGTGACAAACAGGGAAAACGCTGACAACATGAGTCGAATAGCATATTTCTTTGCTCCCCCAGAAAGGCGTAGGCAGAATCAGGCGGGATTTCGAGCAAACATGCCTGTTATAGAACAAATTGCTAACGACCCAATTTATAGACCACCCAGAGAAGAAGTTAACTTAGGGGCCAGGGCACCAAGGTTAGAAGCCCCAATAATCCCAGGCCCACAAAGAGAAATTATGGAACCAGGGGCAAGGGTCGAAAGGCTAGAAGCCCCAGAGTTTCGAGAAGAACAACCTAGGGGAGTTGTCCTGTTTGGTCGAAATCAAGATGTCGATGCTGTCGTTCATAGAATTCGAAATGATAACATCTTGGCAGAAAACAATCTAACCACCATGATAGAGAGAGTCATGGCCCAGAATGGCCTCAACACAGGAATGAGAAGGCCAAATTATGCTTCTCCTATATTGGATTGCATAATGCATACTGATTTACCAAGGGGATATAAAGTCCCTAAATTTACAAAGTTCGCTGGGGATACCAATGAGTCAACAGTCGAACACATAGCGAGATATCTAACCGAAGCGGGAGATATAGCCAATAATGAAGATCTCAGGATCAAATACTTCCCAAGTTCCTTGACTAAAAATGCCTTCACATGGTTTACCACTTTGCCTCCTGGGTCCATTGATACTTGGGCTCTCTTGGAGAGATTATTCCATGAACAATTTTACATGGGACAGTCGAAAATAAGCTTGAAGGAATTAGCCAGTGTCAAGAGAAAGTTCACCGAACCCATAGATGATTATCTGAACAGATTTAGGCTTTTGAAATCCAGATGTTACACAGTAGTGCCTGAACATGAGTTAGTCGAAATGGCCGCTGGTGGTTTGGATTACTCTATTCGAAAGAAACTAGATACTCAATATTTAAGGGATATGGCTCAGTTAGCCGATAGGGTTCGACAGGTCGAAAGGCTAAAGGCCGAAAAAGCCAGAGTCTTTAAGAATAGCAAGAAAGAAAGGATTTCCTATGTTGGAACTGAGGAAGCAGAAGAATATCCTGAATTCGAATTCGAAGAGATCGAAATCGACCTCGCTGAATTAAAACAGGCTATGCCTTATTCCTGCAAATTATTGGTTCCCACAAAAGGGAAAGAGATTGTTGAAAATGAGAAAAGTGACAAATTCCCAAAGAAGGTTTATACCTTCGATGTCACCAAATGTGACGAGATTTTCGATTTACTTGTCAAAGATGGCCAACTCATTGTGCCATCAAATGTCAAAATACCTCTTTTAGATCAGAGAAAGAAGAGAGGATTTTGCAAATATCATAGTTTCCTAGGCCACAAAACCTCACAATGTTTTCTTTTCAGGGACCTAATTCAAAATGCAATCAAAGATGGCAGACTAAAGTTTGCTGATAAGGAAAAGATGAAAGTGGACGAAGATCCCCTGGACATCGCAGACACCAACTACTCCGAGCCTGCATGCATTGGAGAGATTAACATGGTGGAAACTGACCAAAGCGACGCCTTAACAGGAGAGAAGGGTACTGAAACTGAAAACTGGGTGATGTTCGAAGTCAATAAGGAGGTCACTGAAGACATCCAGAAGACGCCGGAGACTTCGATTGCAGCACCTGTAGCTGTTGCAAGAGAAACCCAGGCTACTGAAGGCCAGGGAAATCAAAACCAAGAACTAACACAAGTCACTGAAGGCTTGAGGATGGAATTGGAGAAAGTCCAAATCACGAAGCCAATTTCCCCTCAGAAGGAAATATGGGACACTCTATGGGAACCCAGTGGAAAATTTGACTATTTGGTCAAATATTCTGCCCCAGAGAGTTCGAAGGTTCAGATTGAGGATATAAAGCCCACAGGATGGGGCGATGATGAAGCTAAGGGGGAAGATGTTGAGATAAATATGGTGAATATGGAAAGGCCTCGCTCTGAGATGGAGGAAGTAGAGAAATACTTAGAAAAAGAAAAGTATAGAATGGAGGATAATCACACTGGAGATGCTAGTCTCAAGGATTACCTCATGACATGCCACAAAGGAGATTCAGGCATGATATTATGCCCTAGGTGCAGCATCCTCTGCAATCAAAGAATCGCTGCGAATTTCGAAAGGGTACAGAGGACTCGAACTGGCAACAATTGGCGCCAGGATAACCAGCTTTTTAGGTGTTATCCCAAGGCTGGAGAAAGTTTGCTGGAATTTGTGTTTCGCTGTTACAAAGGGGCAACTAAGTGCTTGATTTGCCCAAGGTGTTCTGCTGTGTATGACCAAAGCATGGCCAGAGCCTTCGAAACGATTCCCTTTGCCCCTTGCTGGAACCATCAAGAAACTGTCCAGATGGGCCCACGTTTCGA